TAGTAATTAAAGAAATTCACTCAAAATATTTCCCAATATTCTAGGCAGTTTGTACAAATGGGCAGAATCATATTTTTTCAAATAAATCAGGCATTTCTAAACGACTGTTCCGATCGAAATAAAATCGATCGAAATAAATCGAAATAAACTAAATGTAAATATAGTGGAGGGTATTATGTGTTTGTGCTGATGTTTGTAACACCCAAAATATTGGTCAACCTTAAAGTATACCAATCAGCTCAGAATCGCTTTCTGAGCTATTTCCGTCTGTCCGTCCGTCTGTCTGCCTATCTGCCTGTCTGTCCGTCTGTGTGTCCAGTAAAGTTTGTGCGCACTCTACATAACTCAAGATAATTTGATGAAATTTGGCACATACTCTTCTTTTGATCCAAGGACGAATCCCATTGAAAGGGGTTAAAGTCGATCCATTGAGCTCATAAATACGTTAAATCTTCTTGTATTACTTCAAAAATCGGTAAAACTTAGTTTTATATAAGTCTTAATGATACTGCTGATTTTTGTAATGATCGGGCCTAATTTGACCCTATCCTTCATACAAAGTCCCCTTCAGAAAATGACTTGATGGTAAAAATTTACAATGATAGTTTGCATAAATAACTGATGTAGACGTAAATCCCTCTATCAAAATTTATGAGGAACATATTAATACCTGCCCCCATATAACCCTTCTTTTAGAAAATACCTTTTTTGTCAACAAATTGTTAAAATATTTTGAGTTAAGGTAAAAATTATATTAAATACTTTATTATTAAAAAAATAATAATAATAAAAATTTGTAACATAATCACTGGTGTGGTTATGGTCGGCCATGCCCGACTATAAATTTTTACTTGTTTTCGTATACGATTAAAAATCTGTTCCTTGGGATTCTCTAAGATACATACAATATTTCCATTTCTATTACATAATATAATTTCTATTTCAAATCATTACAAATTACCCTAACTGCTAAATTCCTTTCTCCGCAAAAACATATGCAAATAGATTTATTTAAAATAAATTATCTGATAGTGAGAGAGAGAGAGAAAATTACAAAAATATCTTAAAAGTATTTATCAGGGAGTTTAACATAAATTACACAGACAATAATGTATACAACACTTTAATGAATGTATGCTTTTTGTAAAATCTACTTTTACATAATTGCTTAAGAATTTCCTTTTTTGCCTTAAACAGAAAAAAATATATTTGATATTTTGTAATCTTTACAAAAGTATCTTTTGTACTGTGTTACAGGTAAAACACTTTGCTTCCACCTTACCTAGCGAAGAAAATATCATTGCAAGAGATTTATGTGCCAGTTAAAAACACTTTATGGAATATTAAGTTATTTAAATGAATTGCTTTTTAGTTACGCATTTCATTTAATAGTTAGTTATTCTTTGGAAATACTTATACTGAACAATTAACAAACAATTTGTAGATAGAATTGAGCAGACAGGGAATAACATTTTTAATTAAAGTTGGGTTGAATAAACTACATACACTTCTATTTGCCGGGAGTTGCTTAAAGTGGTGCTTTGAAATACTTAAACTGTAAGTTATTTTTAAACTAATTAGTAGTTAACTATAGAAAAACATATTGTTAGATAAATATTTACAAACATTCAAAAACATCAAACATTATTTTGCATATTTTTACTCACGCTTATTTTCTTATATATTTGCTTAATGCGACCTACTGGAATAAAACTAAAGTTATCACCTTGCCCCCTAATTTAGCAGTGCTTTATATATGTATGTAAATCTTTTTACACAGAAATATTTTTTCTATACCCTTTAAACTTTGCTACATTAAACATTTTCTTATACAGTTTTTATCTCTCCTCTACACACATTTCGTAAGAAGAAAATTACTTTATAGTAATAAATAATTCATGACTATGTAATTAGTTTAATTTGACCAAGCAATTGTAAATGATACAAATAGAATACATTAGATAGAGATGCTTAGCAGAGCTGGTAATTTTCACTTAAATTGAAATTTTATTTAAAATATTTAATAATGTACAGATATGTATTATACTAGTATTAAACAAAAATAATTATACATGTATACTCATTAAGTAGTACATAGTTCATAAAACTAACGAGTGAAAGAACGAACAACTCTTCCATTCGTTTTCCAAGTACAGAAAATAGTTTTACACTGCCAGTAGCAATGTAATTTTACATTTATCTTTAAGGCACTATGGGATGGATATGTAAATATGAGCAAGTTGCTGCTACATTTTAGTCCAGAAATTGTTGCCATCTATCTTTCCAGAAATAGAGCCAGTTTCTGGTCATATTTTCATCTAGAAATAGGGCTAGTTGTTGGCCATATTTTTGTCTAGAAATAGGGCCAGTTGCTGGCCATGTTTCTGTCTAGAAATAGGGCCAGTTGCTGGCCATGTTTCTGTCTAGAAATAGGGCTAGTTGTTGGCCATGTTTCTGTCTAGAAATAGGGCCAGTTGCTGGCCATGTTTCTGTCTAGAAATAGGGCCATATTTCTGTCTAGAAATAGGGCCAGTTGCTGGCCATATTTCTGTCTAGAAATAGGGCCAGTTGCTGGCCATATTTCTGTCTAGAAATAGGGCCAGTTGCTGGCCATATTTCTGTCTAGAAATAGGGCCAGTTGCTGGCCATATTTCTGTCTAGAAATAGGGCCAGTTGCTGGTCATATTTCTGTCTAGAAATAGGGCCAGTTGCTGGCCATATTTCTGTCTAGAAATAGGGCCAGTTGCTGGCCATATTTCTGTCTAGAAATAGGGCCAGTTGCTGGCCATATTTCTGCCTAGAAGTAGGGCCAGTTGCTGGCCATATTTCTGTCTAGAAGTAGGGCCAGTTGCTGGCCATATTTCTGTCTAGAAGTAGGGGCAGTTGCTGGCCATATTTCTGTCTAGAAGTAGGGCCAGTTGCTGGCCATATTTCTGTTTAGAAATAGGGTCAGTTGCTGGCCATATTTCTGTCTAGAAATAGGGTCAGTTGCTGGCCATATTTCTGTCTAGAAATAGGGTCAGTTGCTGGCCATATTTCTGTCTAGAAATAGGGTCAGTTGCTGGCCATATTTCTGTATAGAAAAAGGGCCAGTTGCTGGCCATATTTCTGTCTAGAAATAGGGCCAGTTGCTGGCCATATTTCTGTAATTATATTCAAACTTAACCCACTGTACGATATAGTGATGTGTTAACATGTGTTTGTAGTAGTTCTGTTGTTTATAAAGTGTTTAATATATCCCTGAGCATGTGTTGAACGTGATAAAGGAAATGCTAACTAACTTTGACATTCCTTTTGCAACAGGATTAAATATTACCGAATACAAGTTGTTTGTGGTTTTAAAACAACCGAAAATTTACAATGACATAATCAACGAATTAGATAATTTCACAAATTAGAAAATTGTTTAGAAAAGTGAAATGAAAATCGAAGGATAAAATTGTATAAGCTTTATAAACTTCAGATACATACTACATATTGTTAATGAATGATTTTTTTGTTTGGAAATTTTGACTTAATATGTAATTGTGTAAAATGTAATTATAGAATTTTATGTCCAAAAAAATTTCAAAAAATATAAATGTTATTACGTAGCTTTACATTAAAATTGCGAAATTGTTGTAGCCACGTACACATCGTTAAATTATTATAAATGAAATATCGTGTATATGCCAAAACAATGTTTACATTGTGTTATAGTTAGTGAAAGTACGTGTTGAGTAATAGTTGTAGAAAGTTAAGTAGATGAAAAGAAATTACATCTAAATTTAGGAAATAAATTTCAAGAATAGCTTATGGTGTGTTCTAGTTAAAAATTGCTGCTAGAAGCAATATTTATTTAGTAGCAAGCAGATATATAAAAATTCCCAATTAAAGTTTGAATAAATTGGTTTTAAATGTGGCCATTTATGGTTAATTTTTACAGCAGTTTGGTAGGAAAAGTCAGAAAATTTATTTAAAGAGTTTAACCATTTTCTCATATCTAAACTTCAGACTCTAACCCACATTTTCACCACCTCCAGTTATTGTTTAACAGATAGTTGTTCTTCCAGTTAAGACAATTTTTGTATGAGAACTATTAATATATCTTAAAGTTAACAAATAACTAGACATTGTGAATATGGGCAGCAATACTCATATAGCTCTCACAAGAGCGTTTTACTCTCGACTTCAAGCTTTTTTATGCTCTCACATGTTTAACTTAAAATCTCACTCATTTTACATTTAGTATTAAGTTTTAACTATTTGTCAAAAATGTCAAATTTCTAACTAAAATTTAAAATTTCTATTTTCTGTTATAATTTTTATTTTTTATAAATATTGTGATTTCTTTGAAAATGTTGATCTTCTATTAAAATGTTGATTTTATATTAAAATTTAGATATATTTTTTTTTAATTTTGATTTTTTTTTAATTTCGTTTTTTTATGAAATTTCCATTTCCTTCAAAAATTCCGATTTTTTTTTTTAAATTTTGATTTTCTGTGAAAACTTCGATTTTCTATGAATACTACATTTTCTATGAAAATTTTGATTTTTTATGAAAATTTTGATTTTTTATGAAAGTTTTGTTTTTTTTATTAAAATTTAGTTTTTTTATGAAAATTTATTTTTTTTTATGAAAATTCAATTTTTTATGAAAAATTTGTTTTATATATTAGATTATGAAAAAATAGGCTTTCTTTTAAAATTTAATTTTTTTATGAAAAAATCGATATTTTATGATTTGATTTATTATGATTTGATATGAAAATTTTGAAAAAAAAAAATTAAATTGTTTCTATTAAAATTTCGAGTTTCTATGAAAATATAGATTTTTATGAAAATTCTGAATTTTCTATGAACATTTCAATCTTTTTGTTAAAATTTGGCATTTTATGAATATTTACATATTCTTCAGGAGATTTTATAAGAAAATTTTGATTCTGCTTGAAAATTTAGATTTTTTTTAAAATCTCGATAAATATGAATATCAACAGAAACACAAAAACCCGACTTTTTCAATTAATTTATTTAAACATTTATTTAAGTACATACACACACACGCACATTTACAGACATTTAACAATTTACAATTTACTTTTCTTTTCCGGCTGATTAACACCCTTTACATTATCATCCACTGTCCAGGTGTCCAGTATTAAAGGTCTATATCTCAAAATAAATGGATTAATTAAAGCTGCCACAGCCTCAGCATCATTTAAATGTAAATGATGGGTACCATCATATCTATGATACTCAAATGTGAGTTATTAGCTCTCAAAATATCAACAATTTCCTCATCAATGGTTGACATTAAACTCAACTTATCCGATCTAACAATCATATAAGCTATATTCTTAATACGTTAGCCATTTCTATAGCTAAGCCATGATCACCTGGCAGCTCCACACATTGCTTAACACGACCATCACGTGAAAAATAATATTTGGCGGGATATAATTGAGATTTCTCAATACTTCTATTTAGCAAATATTTACAATTCTCCTTCTCCACCGATTGCATAGAACCTTTGTGCAAAAGATCTTCCAATTGTTGATATGAATATGAGGGTGGCTCTTTCAGCGACATTTCCTCCATACGTTCATTTTCGATTAAAGATCTTTCGGCCAATATTTTAAATTTCTCTATTTGCCTTTGAACGGGAAAATATTTTGATTTTATTATATCTATCTGTATTAACATATCCATCATGTGAGGAAAAAGGGCGGCATAGAAAAAACTAACAATTGCACCCATAGAATGACCCATTAGCGAAACTTTGCGCCATTTGTATTCCTTAACAATTCTAACTATTATCTGAACGTAATCGAGAACATGATAGGTCATGCCGACGGGATATTTTGAAGATCTACCATGACCGGGTAAATCAATGCATAAAATACCAATATGACGCGGCAGCAGAGGTATTAAACGATCCCATGTTCCGAGATTATCTTGCCAGCCATGAATGGCTAGAATGGGTCGTACTTTTCGATTACCATACCAGCGTCCAACAATATGACCCCAAGGTACATCAATGGATATATCTTCAAACTGTAAAACAGAAATGGAATTACAAATCTTAACTTAAACTAAATGAGAAGTTTAAGCCTTATTTTTAAATAGCCAATTTATAAAGAAAATTTAAAATGTTTGTCATACATTATTTCTTTAACAATTTTATAATTATATTTTTTACAAAATTTTATATAATATGACTACAATTCATTTTATTAAAATGTAAACATTTTAACGTAATTTTTTCTCTTTATTTTTGGCAATTTATTCAAAATTTTATTTTAAATTTAAAATACTCTCTTCTCTCAATACTATTAAACAAATATTAAAACAATTTAAGAGTACAAAGGTTAAAAAATACTAGTCATACTTAAGTATATGTAAAGTAAAAAAATAATTGTTAAATATTAATTTTTATATAAATGTTATTAATATTTTCAAATAAATTTATATTAATACTTACTACTAATGGTTGTTTGGTTTCCATTACACACGTATTTTTCCTAAATATCTTAATTTTAATTTATAAAATACATTTTTAAAGCAAACTTAATAAAAATACGTATTTGTTTGTAAAATATTTATCTAGTTTAAAGCGTCTAACATCAACCACTAACGCTGACTAATCAAAACACCCTAAAAGTAACAACATCCAACGACAGTGTGGCCAACTGTGTTGTTTTTATCTTTACCTATAAGTGCTTTTAATTTGAGACATGTTTTCATAGTTACGAAAACCCAAAAGAAAACTGTACCGATTGGCATCCTTAGATGACACACTATCCCAGCAACAAAAAGAACTTCCGAAGAAGCGAAAAAGAAGTAGAATTTACTCCATGGAAGTACTGAAAAAGACCTGAAGAAGTGATAATTTTAACACAGGCTTGTCATAGGAGGGATAGCTATGCAATAAAATTCAAGTAAAATTTTACTCCAATAGCTTTATTAATTAATTAAATATGTGCGTTTAAGTGATTTTCGGAAGTGGACTTTATATGAAAGCTACGACCAATTACGAGCCTACACGGAAAAAATTTCATAGAGTGATTCATATATAAACAAAACATATTTGTGTCGAATTTTATCAAGATAACTTTATTTGATAATGAGATATGTGCGTTTTAAGTGATTTTTTTGAAGTGGGCCTTATATGGGAGCTATGACCAATAATGAACCGATCCGGGAATGACTTATAGAATGTACACAAACATATTCAAGTCGAACTTTATCTTTATTATTCAAAGAAATTATGTGTTTAAGTGATTTTCGGAAATGGGCCCTATATGGAAACTATGACCAATTACGGACCTATCCGGAAAATTAATAATAGAGTAATTCATATCTAGACAGACCATATTTATGTCGAATTTTATTAATATAGCTTTATTTTACAATGAGACATGTGCGTTTAAGTGATTTTCGGAAGTGGGGGGAAGCTATGACCGATAATGGACTGATCCGGGAAACAATTAGTAGAATGATTCATATGTACACAAAACATATTTAAGTCGAATTTTATCCCCATAGCTTTAAAAATCAATGAAATATATGCGTTTAAGTGATTTTCTAAAGTGGACCTTATATGGGAGCTATGGCTAATTACGGGCCTATCCGGAAAAAATTTCCTAGAATGATTCATATAGAAACAAAGCATTTTTGTGTCGATTTTTATCAAGATAGCTTTATTTGACATTGAAATAAGTGCGTTTACGTGATTTTCGGATGTGGGGGTTATATGGGAGCTATGACCAATAACGAACCGATCGGGGAAAAAATTTTGTAAAATAATTTATATGTACACAAGACATATTCAACTCGAATTTTATCACTATAGCTATATTTACCAATGAAATATTTGTGAGCTATGACCAATTGTGGACCGACACAGATCTACGTTGGTAGTATGATTTCTGTTCATATTATATTTGTATGTACAAATTTTGATACCGTATGTTGATACCGATATAGTTGAGGGAGTTATTAACGATAAACTAATTTCCGGGAACATGTATATACCTTTGTATGAGGGCTATGGGAACATTGCATCAATTGTTATGATTTTGTACATACTTGATTGACAAAATTCATCGAAATACCTTTGATAGTTTCTGAGAAAACTACTTAAGAATGGGGAAAAAAACGTAATTTTATATAATTTTCGAGATAGCCTGAAATTTTTTGTCTAACCTTTTACGTTGTGAACCCATTTTGCTGATATCAAATATCAAACTGCTTGAATTTGGTAGATTTCCTTTGCTTAGTAATATCGTGAGCATGTTTTACACAGACAGACAGACAGACGGACAAAGCTAAATCGACTCAGAATTTCACAAGGGCCCAGAATATGTATATATACTTTGTTGGGTCTAAGATCAATATTTCTTGGTATTACACAAGGAATGTATAAAAATCACTTTTACGAAACTATTATTTTTAATTTAAGCGATTTTTTCAGTTTTGTTTTCGTTTACAACACTATTTACATAAAAACACGAGAGACCTTGAACACGCTACAAACACAATTACAGCAACAAACTACAAATGACACCACTTTTGCCACAAAACATTTATAAACTAAGTTATTTTTCTTTAAAAAAAAAATAATTCTGTTTTTATCAAAACCTTAAAGATATTAATAATTTTAATATTAAAACTTCATGAACTTCTTTATGATTATCTAAATTTTTATTATTTCAAAAAAAGCAACAAAGAAAACTAGTTTTTTGCTATCACACATTTATACGATAACGCTTGTCGCAATGATTGTGACTGAAGCATACACACAATTTAATAACAAGAGAAACCTACTAATAAACATGAAAGAAAGAGAACTCATTGATAAGAGCGTTATCAAATCATAAAAGTCTCTTAATCGTATACATGTTTTTTAATGTGCAGTAAACGTTCAAAGGTTGTTGTTTGCTCTTTTCTAAACAAAACACTTAAATATACACTAAGAAAAATATAATACAATATAATAAATTCAAATAAATAATTCAGAAAATTTTTTCATTTTATTGTTTTTATATTTTATAAACAAAAATAATTATCATCTTTTATAATTTACTTTGTATTCTTGTAGTCATATCCGTTTCTGGCATAAATCTCAAAATAAATGGAACAATTTTAGCTGCCACCTCTTTGGGATTATTTAAATGGGCATGATGGGTACCTTCTACTTCGTTAAACTCCATATTTAAATGGTTTTTGCGAACTAAATCCAACATATAATTTTCTATATAATCAGATTTATTAAATTTAATCACCAAATGATTGACACTTTTCAAACGTTTAGTCATAATTTCAATTAATTCTAGAGTAGGATTGAATTCATGATAGTATTTTATGCGACCATCACGTGAAAAATAATATTTCCTGGATTCAATTGAGATGCATTAATACTACGATTGAGTAAATATTTACAATTTTCTTTCTCAATTGATTTGTTAGAACCTAAATATAGCTTTTCTTCTAATTCTTCATAAAAATATGAAGGAGGTTCTTCTAAATTTAATCTTTCTAAACGCTCATTTTCAATTAAGAGTTTTTTGTGCCCATTACTAGTTTCTTTAGCCTATAATCAGGGCTTCTTATCGGTGTCATTATAATATCTAGCTGTATAAGCATATCAACTGTTTGAGGATAGAGAGAGGTATATATAAAACCTATAATACCTCCCAAAGAATGACCTAATATGGAGACTTTCTTCCAATTGTATTCTTTCATAATTAGTAGGATTGTGTCCACATAGTCAATCATATGATAGGTTATGCCATTCGGATATTTGGAGGATCTGCCATGACCAGGAAAATCTATACACATCATTCCTATATGCTGGGGTAACAGGGGAATAAGACGATCCCAAGTTCCTAAATTATCTTGCCAACCATGTAATGCCAATATGGGTCTTACACTACGATTTCCATACCAACGTCCAGCGATGTGGCCCCAGGGCACACTGATG